TCACACTAACATTTGAATGAGATTGTTAAAAACTAATATACTAATATACCCAAGTTAACTTAGCTAGTGCCTTATTTATAATGCCTCGGCATTAGGAGAAAAAACAGACATTTTTAATATAATAATTAATCAAGGGTGAATTGTCTGATTAAATCCTTCAAAATGATCTCTGATTAAGATTAAAAAAAAATCTCAGGACAAAGCTGGGTCTCATTCATCTAATGTTCTCAGGAAGACATTTCTTCTCAGAAGCTGCTTATGCAGTAGCCAGGAGGATTCTGACATCCACTAATCTTTTCCTATTTGGTATTTATTGTTCGTTACAAAAACAGAACCAATGCAAACCTAAGAGCATTTTATGCACATTTGAGCTCTGACACACCTGGACAAAATAAATGGTTAATCTGTTGTTTCAATTCTACAACTGCATATTAATAAAGGCTTTTAAAAGGATTATCTAAATCTTAAATTATGAACACTTCACTTTTTGTGTTTAAGGTGAAAATCCAACTTTTCAAAATTTGTATATGAGTTCAGAGAGGGTCATTGCTGAACCTATTTGAGGTAGCAGCTGCATAATTGCAGCTGGTTGTCCTCTGTGTCATCTGGAATAAGATGGTGCACACATAATGGCACTGCTGCAGGAAGCTGCTAGCTGCATGGAGCTACAGCCAGTGGATGCTTCAGCATGAGTAGGTCTTAATGCATGATCAAAAGTAATCATTTGTTTCTATTATGCAAACTTTGGTCCTTTAGAAAATAAGCTGTAATTGATCACTTGCACATGTTTAGGAAAAGAACACATAGTGTTTCAAGCTACAGCTTTAACAGCACATGAACTGTCAGGTTGTTTCAGTTCTGAGGGGGGAAAAGTATTTCTGTGTCTGAGACATAGGACATTTCCTGGGAGATAAAAGTTCTGGTCGGCAGTTCAATGTTTAAGTGTTCAGCCGATGACACATCTGAAAGCACAGTCTCTCCGTTATTAGCTCTAAAGCACTGGTTCAACTCAGGTAACTCTGAACTGGCCTGTACAATTGAACTGGTCAGCCCTTCTGTTCTGTTTGCCAAGAATTGCTCTGCCAAAGATTTGAGATAAGATCACTTTGCTTCAGAATTCTTGACAAACGAGCTATAGCATCTGTTTGAAATGTGATTAAATCTATTAATCCTTCTGACTGTGACAGCTAAGTTGCTACCCATTTCTCTAAAGTACCCTTCATTTTAGACATTTTATAATACACTTTGTCATGGCACAGACTCAAGAACAATTCTGCAAGCTTTTGGTAATATTGTTTCCTGACACTCTGTAACTAGGTTGCTAAATAGACATTTAATTATAAAACTTGAATATGTGCGCACAGCCAACGTAGCAATGGTTGGGTGATTGCATCGAACACCTCTGACAAAAGCCAATCACTGGTGGCTACGTCTGATTAAGGCTGAGAAGAAGTGCCCTCATTATTACCAACAAAAAAAAAATCAAAGCAGTAGGTGTTCAGGCTGCTAGCATGCATCTCTTATCAGACGTTTTGTATTGTGCCTCGGTTTCTATGGTAATGAATGAGTGAGTCCTGGTGTATTTCTTAGAGAAAAAAAAATACTCTCCAAGACCAGCTTTTTTGTCATTGTTAGTGAAAGACCTGCAGGACACAAATGTAATGACTAAGACTC